AAGACAGAGGAAAGTTTTCAGCAGTGAAAGTATGACACATCTGAAGTAAAGGCATCCTCAGTGTTCCTTTATCATGAACAGTTAGGATCACTGTCTCAAAGGAGTGACCAGGAGCACCTGCATCATCTGCATGCTGTTCCCCAAAGCAATGCTCAATACTCATGACATACTAGAAACCAGTCTCTATCTACTGCCCCCACCCCCAGGGTCATGCTTCTTTATAACATGAAGGTCATTCTCAGCTGGCGGTACATCAGGGTGACAGCTCCTTAGCAATGAGGAGAACGCAGAGCACTGCAATCTAAGTGTGCTGTGGATTGTTTCCTCTTAAACATGCCAATGTCTCCTACTTACAAAAGTTAAATACTTAAGGTCTATAATTTTACTTAAAGATTTTTCTATTTACTTTTCAATTCCCAGAACACAATTGTACGGGCTCTCTACATTTTCCCAATTAAAATTTATTCTTCTATTCCCTAAAAATCTCAAAAAGGGATTGAGTACCAACACAATATTTAAATGTACAAGAAGAGTAAAAGTTTCCAGTTTTGACCACCACGAGCAGCAAGGGAAGATTTGTCAATCCTGCAAATGAATGAGAGGAACAATCCTCTCTGAAGTCAGGATGTGAAGTTGGATTTAGGAAGTGGGATGTAGATGTCACATTAGCTTGTCCTGCCTGTAATTCCAATGAGAACTAAAAGTCAGCACAGCACTAAGCCTTGTGTACTGATGACAAGGAAATGACTCAGACCAATAATATCACAGAGAAGCCCAGTGATATAGCTCACTGGCATAGTACTTGCTTGGCATGTACAAGGTCCTGAGATTGATTCCAACTCTCTCTCTCTCTCTCTCTCTCTCTCTCTCTCTCTCTCACACACACACACACACACAAATAAAACATACTCACTCTCTCTCTCACACACACACACACACACACACACACACACACACAAATAAAACATACTCACTCTAGTTCCCATGCCAGACTGAGGAACACAGGAAAACTGAGTCTGCAACTTAGCAGCAAGTCCAGGTGATGCTCGTGCACTCTGAGGACTGAGAGACCAGCCCTGGAGGATGTGAAATGAACAGGTGGACAACTAATCCTTCCCTGCTGAGGATGTTTACTTGACTTCTCCACTGCAAATACATTCACCACTGTTCCCAACCGTGTAACTTTGCTACGTATGGGTAAATAAACACAACTGGACTTTGAATTCTGGTTTTGCTGCTTGCTAGCAAGTTACTGAACTTGTCCAAGCACCGGTTTCTTTATCTAAAAAAGGAAGGAGAAAGCAAACTCTTTTAAACCGGGCTGTGATGAGAATATGAGAGCAGTTTATGGATACCCTGGAGCATGCACAGCACAGGGATGAAAGCTACTCTGAGCTGGTGACGAAAGAAGAGATGAAGACATCTCTTTATCTGTAAAAGATATGGCCAATTTCCCCAAAGTTAGAATAATTACTTCATACAAGTCTAACAAAAACCTCTGTCAATTTTTGTTTGTTCTATGAGACAAAGTCTCATTCTGTAGCCAAGGGATGGCCTAGAACTCTATGTAGCCCAGGCTGGCCTTGCACTCACAGAAATCCTCCTATGTCAGTTCTCCTCATTATTGAGATTATAAGCATGAAGCACCGTACCTAACCCAGTAGATAATTGTTTGGAAAAATATCTCAGGACCGATAAGATGGCTCAGCCAGTAAAGTGCTTGCTTCACAAGCCTGATGACTTGAATTCAATCCCTGGAATCCACACAGAGGTGGAACAAGAGAACCAATTCCATAAAGCTGTCCTCTGACCACCACCTATAAGTCATGACACAGGCATGACCCCACACACATAATACAAAATCAATTTTAAAATATTAAAGTCTATATGGAAAGAGAAACCATAACCAAAACAAGAAATGTTGGTGTTACGAAAGAATGCATACAAGTCTATAGAAAAATATATTAAAAAGAATGCATACCAGTATGTTTAACTACTGTGTATAGCAGAGGAAATCAACAAACAAGAGAGCAAACCTCAATATAGGCAATGAGTATAAATGTAAGATGATATGGTATACATCAAAAATGTATGTGAATATTTATTATGGTGTTCATCCTTCCTGGTATTAGGAAAGGTCCAAAATCAAGTAACAGCAACTTAACACCTTAAACTTTTCAGATTGGCAAAAATTAAAAAGCACAGTGGCAACAAATACTTTGTACAGATAATGGGATATATTAGTTTGTTTATTAATTTATTTATTTTTGAGTCTGGGTCTCCCTGTAGCACCAACTGGCCTGGAACTTGCTATGTAGACCAGGCTTGCCTTGAGCTCACAGAGATCCCCCTGACTCTTCTTCTTGAGTGCTGGGATTAAAGTCCATACCATCACACACAGCTTGTGTGTTTATTTTTAAGCAATAGAAATCCAAAACGAAGTTACTGAATCAAAAGAATTGTAGAAGTGGCAGCAGTAATAGCAGTACTGATCACAACAGTAATAAATATATTGGGGTGGAGAGATGGTTCAGAGATTAAGAGCACTGACTGCTCTTGCAGAGGACCCAGGTTCGATTTCCAGCACCCACATGGCAGCTACGCATCGTCCTTAATTCCAGTTCCAGGGGACTCCAAAGCCCTCTTCTGACCTCTGCGGCATTGCACGACATGGGTGCACTCGCATACATGCAGGCAATACACTCATACACATAAGATAATAAATAAAATATTTTAAAAATATAACTATGACCACCACCAATAGCAGCAGTCCACCTCCTGGTCATCTCCTTGAGGGGCATTATCAATAGCATAGCAACTAGCCAGACTACCTCTAAACAGACAGCACTATGTGTCACTCGCTGTTCCAGATGTTCACAACGGCTCTAAAATTATAAGAACTATTTTGCCTGTTTTAAAACTGAAAAACTGAGACATGAACTGTGCCTGGAAAACACATAACTTACATATGTGAGCTATTTCATACTTTTGCTTGGGGTGTTAGCTACTTTTTTTTATCACTGCTGTGGTCATCACATGTATTTTGTGATGCAATCCTACTCCTATGATTTGCCTAATTACAAAAATAGCGAAGTGAAAAATCATGGATGGACATTAATGTGAATAGGTACGTGTGAACAACTATGAGTAAATATTATTTCTGTAAAAAACAAATTAAAATATAGAAGCATATTAGGTAGTTAATCTGGATTATTGAGGAAAGGTGATACTGGAGAGGAAGAGGCAGGAAGAGGAGAACTGGAAAAAGAGGGTGACAATATAACTAAACACAAATCAGAACAAACACACTTTCACAAAGTTGGAACCTTAAGGTCACGATAACAATAAACGAATAACATTTTACAGCATCTGGTGACAAAGAACACTGAACATGTTTAAGATGTATTTTTAAGCAAATTTCATCTTTCAGAAGAGTAATACTTTTGCAGAAAGATTTGGATGCTTTTCCCCAATAAAAAGAAATTATTAAGAAATTCTCCCATGCCTGCTTCATTTTTTAGTGAACAACAAAACAAAACAAAAAATCTTATTAATGGCAAGTAAGATTCAAAAGCTAGTAAAGGCCACTTGTTAAAGGCACCACCTTGGGGCAAAAGAACTGAGTGTCCTTCCCTAGCACTACCACAGCTGGAATAGCTGACCTTTGACATGCCTTTTAATTTGCTTTTAAATTTCCTGATTCACAAAGAAAGGAAGTTCAACCAATCCATCCATTAAAGTCTCTTTAGTGATGAAATGCAATTAATCTATAATTAAAAAGTACAACGTAAGCATATAAAAGCAAATACAAATAACTATATATTTTAGAAGAAAAAGAATTCAAAGTCTGGATAACTGATGGCAAAGTAATTCAATAACCCGTTTAAAATGTAACTTTTTAGAATTTAAAATCTACAACAAGATCAATTAGTGGTTTTACATTTCCAAATGGTGAATGCAGCTATTCAATGCTCAATTTCTCATAGTGATATAAGAAAGCTGTAATTTTTAGATGTTGTTCAGATTACTTATTGAAGGAAGACTTAATTTTTCATCTTAGAATGGTGCCAACTGGAAAGAAGCAGTTTAACAAATGTCATCCTTTCAAGACCAGGTGTGACAACCGTTGGAAATATGGCTGGTCAATGCCAGTGAATGGGTCAAAGAACATCAAATTTTCTAGCAGGAAATATTGAATATAAATTATTGACAGAACACAAAGGTGGGAAAAGGAACTTGCTTAAGCAAGACAGACTCCTGATGTCATAGTCAAAGTTTTAATGTTTATATTTTCCTAAGTATTATAAGTAACACAATAACACTTGATGAAAATATATGCATATATATAAAGCATAAAGTCATTAATTCATAGAATATAAAGATTTCCATGCACTTGTTAAATTTTATGTATTTTATTTCCTTAGTCAGCTGTGGGATTTTCCAAAAGCATGCATAAAATCCTTTAAACATTGCCAGTTCAGAAACAGTTAGATGAAAACCACCTTTTAGACTGCATGGAATTTCTTAAAAAAAATCTATTCAAACTTTTGATAGGATGGCTAAGAATGAGTTCCTCCAAAGACATACTAAGACTGCTTGGTCCAACCAATTTTTATAAGCTATGATGACGTAAAGAAAATATATATGGCTTTCACAGTTATCTAAAATTCCTGCAAACAAGAGGCTCCTCGAGTAGTATGTCATATTCTCTTATCTACCAGTACAAACACGTGCATTTATTTATATCCTTAGATTAGCCTCATGTCTAATTTTACTGGCACTTGTATCCAGGAGCGGATTTTTTTTTTAATTACAAATGGAAATTGATCTAGATCAAAGGCACTCTAAGAAGGCCAAATTTTAGTTCTCTGAAAAACAGTGGGTGTGATCCCATGTCATTTAATTATGCTGAGCCATGCCGTTTGGCGCCTTATCTGGTGACTGCAGAAACCGGGTCCAGCCGTCCCCACCTGTTGGGGTAGTGGAACTATTGGACTTACCCAAAAGAGCAGATTGAGGGCGTAGAGCAAGCAACGCAAGCACTTCACGGAATCTTCTCTGGCCATGGTGAGCCTCCGGAGCGACCAGCCCCATCCTTTCAACACATCCTACCGTAGGTCAAGGCAAAGCAGCCGCGATCTGCGGGGGCGGGGACAGCAAGAAGACTTCTCACCACCTCGCAGCCAGCCCCATCCCGCCTTTGCCGTCCCTGAGTTGGGTCTCCTGGATCTCGAAGCCTAGTTCAATCGAGACTTCTCATCAAAACTCATTTGTTAGAGTCAAAAAGGGAACAAAACTCAAAGTTCTAACATGTCTTCAGATAACACCTGCTGGGAAGAGAAAAGAACTGACTCTCCGGATGAATGAAGACAGAAAAACTGGTTCCCAGGGGACCTGCGGCGAGGCCCTCTGTGTTTTAATGAGATTTTCCTTTGCTCCCTCCTGAGGGACCGCTCAGAGCCCAACTGTCCTAAAGGTTATAAAGCATTTGAGCCTCCCGAGACTTCACAGGCGCCCCCACCCC